TCTTGCACAATAGTCATACAAAACCCGTATCACACATATAAAACACCCACCAGTGCCATAAAACAATTCACAGACTTACCCTCAACACACCAAGACAAACAGGACTACTGCCAATCGGAAAAAGATACACAGAACCATCCAACATGCTCTGATACACCAATGATCCTCCTGCAATGCCCGTATATAAAAACCAAGCGCTGTCTACCTAAACGAATGCACACTTTCCCAAGCATGCCCCTACCCACATGCACATAATGCTTTCAAATCTGCTCTTACTCACACGGTTCCCCAAGTCATGGGGGGAAAGCCACACGTATCATATTCCACTCAACACCGAATTACAAACCCCTAACCACCAACTCCTTGACTTTGTATGGACCCTGACCTCCTAACCACACTCAGCTCACTCGCACACACAAAAGCTTCACCGCCCCTTTTTCACAAATACCACACATCAGAATATACCTACCGACTCGGACCTAACAAGACCCTCCAAGCCCCACCTGTGCTCCACTCCCCCCGTGGCCCCGCACCATCACACCTGGAACCACTACCGCTCCTCCCCGCGGACCCGCCCCCAGGGCCTCCCGCCCACCGCACCAGGCCCCAAGGACCACTACAGCTGGCAGCTGAAGGGGAACCCACAGGCCGCCCAGGACACCAGACCCTCGGGTCCCTGGTACCTGAGACCCACAAGCGCAGACCCCGAACCCCAGACCCCGGGGACCCAAGAAACGACCCCAGACCCGTGGGCCTCTCGGGACCCCAGACTCCGGCTCGCGGACCCCAATCCCTTAGACCCTCTGAATTCTAGACCCTCGAGCGCGGACCCCAAACCCTCAGACCCTCCATAACCTACACCCCAAACCCCAGGGACCCGAGCACTGACCCGAAACCCGCGGGCCCCCCGTGACGCCAGTCACCCAGCGCGGAGCCCAGGCCCGTGGCCCCAAAGTACCGGCCACCGAATCCCAGGAACCGACCTCACCCCTACAAGGTCAGGGTGCAAACAACCCGCCCGAGGGACCGTGCGAGGCACCTCAACATAAAGCCAAAGCCGCAGAAAGCGACGGCCATGTCTCCAGTCCCCGCGGGCCACACCTCAAGGGCTCACACAACGCGAAGCAAGAACGCCACAGACCGCGGGCCGCCACCCCTGCACGCCCGGGAGCGCGCGCCTTCATCTTCAAGCCTACCTCACGCAAGCACGAGGCGGCCACGCACGGCCCCGCCCTCAGCCAGAGGACCGTTAGGGACCCCCGCCCCCGAGCCCGCGCAGGCGCGCTTTCTCCGGCGGGCAGCCTCAACAGACGCTGGGAGCCGTTGCAGGGGGCGGTCCGGGAGACTTTCAGCCCCGCCCCTGGGGAGGTGTGCGCGTGCGCGTGCGTGGGCCTGCGCGTGCGTGGGCGCGCGCGGGGTAAGCTAAAGCCGGACCTGAGAATCGTGCCAGAGAGACCTGAAGGCATAGGTCCAGGAGCCGGGGGCTGCACGGGGACGACTACCCTCCCGCACTCTTTGTGGTCCTCCTGCCTTCTAGCCAGCGCGTGGGAAGTGAGCGCTCACGGCCCTAACATCGCAGATGTACCCTCCCTGGCCTCAGACGCGACCTTGCGAACGACCTGGGACAGGTGCCTCCGAAGCCCGAGGGCCCCGCGGGCGGCCACCTCCGTCCGGACTGCGCGTCTGCTGCTCTTTCCCGCCTTTCGGCGCCCTCTGCGCCCGGCTGAACCCCTGAGCCCCGCAAGGTTCCATGGAAGCACAGTTCTGGCGGAGAATTCAGACCCGGGGAACACTCGACGCGATGTGCCCTGACTCCATTCCCAGACTTTCCCCGGGGCACAGCCTGTACACAACAGGTTTCTTGGCGGAGCTGCTCAGTGACTGTGAGCGTGGTCCACACAGCTTTCCTCGCAAGGCTCGTCTTCCGCCTTGGGTCGGCACACGCCTGTTTCAGGTGACCTAGCAGGCGGCATGGCCGCAGTTTTACTCTGCCCTCCCTCCTCTTCTGGAATATCGAAGATCTTCAGTGCGCGCGAAAAAAGGATGCAACGGATTGCCCTGACTTTGTGTGACATTTTTGGAAGAAGCTTCAATCATCCCATCTCTTTCCAGTCCGTTGCCAGAGGAGGGCTGTTTCCGGGCACCGCGGACCTCGGGAGCCTCGCACGGCTCACCTCCAAGTGCACGGGAAGAAGACTCCACAGCACACAAGCCTGCTGTCTCGCCTTCTGCCAGTGTCCTCTGACTGGGTGGAGGTCATGGCGCTTCGCAGACCTGTGAGCCCTGTCCAGAGATGGCTCTCTCTCAGCAGTCACTATAGGCATGCTCAGAGACCAGCACGGGAAGGATTTCTGGTGGTGCCTTCCACGACCGGTCTTCCCAAATTGCATTTGGGCGAATTTGATTCCATCTGCTTCTGGGCTGTAGGATTTTGAAGCAGTACAGAAATGGTTGCAGAATTGAGACGAGATCCTTTTTCCACAGTGCCACTTTTGTATCAGTGGCCCCGAGAAGGCTCCTTCAGATCCTACATCTGAGCCACGAGTGAGAATCTGGTGGCAACTTGATGGAATGACAGGACAAGGGCAGGAAGCAGGAAGGAAGTGCTTTCGCCAGGTGCAGCAGTTTGCCTCGGCATCTCTCTAATGGGAAGTCGGCTGAAAATCATTTCAGGCTTCCCAAGATAAAAGCTCAAGGCCTGAGAAATGTCTCCAAGTTGTTTCCTTTTCCAGTCCCCGACACGGATCTCTGAAATTAAGTTCACTGAGATTTGCTTGAATTGCTCTCAGCTCATGTCCCCAGCTAAGATCAAGGAAGCGTGCGTGGAGCAGCTGCGGGAGAGAACAGGCAGGGGTGTGTGTGGAGGGCCACGTGAGGGCTGCATAGGGTGAAAGGCCTGGGAAGTGTCCCCTAGGGCCACACCATGCAGCTCCCTTCCTTCAGGTGGCTGGTGGGACGCTCCTGAAGTATTCCCTATAAATATTACCTAGACCTAGTCACGGGGTGTGTTGGGAGAACACTTAAAATCATGAGGAAATGCGGCAGGAATTGAGAAGTGACTTTTTTCACAACTGTAACACGGGGTGAGGGGGAGAAGAAGCCCAGGCCCTGGGCTCACGGTCCATGGCCCTTCCCCTTGAAAATGGCCCCAGGTTCCTTTTCACACAACAGTGGTCTTTGGAGTCACCTTTCCTTTGAGGAGGGTGGAGGGAGGCGAGAACTGTTTCAGCGCCTTAGCCAAAAGGAGTTCTTGTTCAGTGCCAGTTCAGAGTGGAGCCATCCTTCTAAAGCTCCCTTTCCTTCCCCAACACCCTGCTGTCGTAGGAACTCTGCCGTCATGGCGGTGGGAATGAGGCTTGTCTCCCGAGACATCTGGCTTCAGCCTCTGAAGTTCTCAGCCCTCATCACCCTTGGCCCATTTCCTAACAGTCCTCTCTTCTCACAAAGAAAACACCAATGCTCCTTCGCATCATTGTGTTCCCAATAAACTGACATTGACGTGAACCATGAAGATAAGAGACAATGAGATTTTAAAGGGGTGCTACCATGATTCCCACGTACGTGGGACCACATTCAGTGTGAGCCTGGATTCCAAAGAACGAGGGTCTACCATTTGCAAGCCCAGAGCAGGGCTTCCAGGCTCAGAGTGGCCGGCCAGCCCTTAGAGGAAGCTGGTTGTGTGAGTGGGAAATGGATAGGAGTGGATACCCCGGGAGGCTTTGTCTCAAGGGGCACATCCATTTCATGAGCAGTGATTGTAACAGCTCAAAAAACCAAGGGTATCGGGTCTTTCTATGCCCCTTCGAAGTAAGAAAGGGGAAGATCTCCTATGCCTTCTTTCTGTCCTCACCCCCACTAAGCCTAGACACTCAGTGATATATGATGGCTCTTCCAAATTCCAAATCATTCAAAGAGCCTGCGGACACTCTGTGTGTGTGTGTGTGTGTGTGTGTGTGTACACAAATGAGCTTTGCAGTGAAGCCAAGATAGCACTCTGGAGTGTTCATATCCAAGATCTTTTTCTCACAGGTAAGTGACTAATAACAACTGGATACGTTACATATTTTTGGTAGAGATGCCAGATAAAATACAGAATCCCACCTAAATGCAAAATTAGATAAAGGGGGGGAAAGATCTGCATGAAAAGTGTATCTCAAATATTGCATGGGACACAATTCTTGTAAACGCTGATTCCATGTTTATCTGCGATCCTAATTTAATTGAGTGTCCATTATTGTTATTTGCTAAAATTGGCCACCCCATTCGATGGGGCCCTTCGAATTTTAGAGGACTGTAGCACTTCTTCTGGGAATCTAGCCTCCAGAAAAGAGGAGAGGAGCCACATTATCAGGACAAGAACAATCACTGTGCATATCCACACACATTTGGGGACCTCTATCAGCCTTCAACCGGAGAGAAATATGCTTTCATTCTTCAAGAAACGAAGAGCGTACATTGACTTTTTGAGGCACAATGCATCTCTCTAAAGATCTAAAAGACACAGGTAACACTGGGTTCCTGGGAGAAAGGGGCCGGGTTGCCAGGAGTAAGAGGTGAGAGGAAGAGGTGCCCCTGCGCAGCCCCTGTTGAATGAGTCAAGAGCCAGGTAGGAAGCAGAGCGGGTGGAGGGACACAAACCGAGGTCTCTGGATACAAAATCGAGCCAAAGGAGCACCGGGTCACACCTTGGTGCGGTGAATCTGGAAAACAGTGTCTGAACTGCCTGGAAAGGCGCGCGCCCCAATTGTGCTGCCCCTGCATCGTTCGAAAGGAGCCTGGGGTTCTGGCCCACCTGCCAGAGCCTGACTCATGGAATGTCTCCCCACCCCCAGCCAGGGCAGGGGCCCTCCGCCCCTCCCCCGCCACAGAATGTCATGAAGTCCTGCATTCTCGCCCTGTTTAGATTCAAACTTTTCCGTCCTTGGCTTGGGTCCTGAGTGTCTCCTGGAGCAGCTCACCGTGTGGGGCCCGGACCTGACTTTCCTCAGTGTGGAGGCTGCCAGGCGGCGGCATCCTCTGCCTGTGGGGATGGCTTTACAAGGAGGTGAGCCTTTGGCTTGGGTTGGACGTGTCAGGGCCCAGGCCACCCCTGAAGTCCTTGGGATTCAAATGTGACGCCGGCCAGGGGCACTTCGGTGGGGTTAGGTAGAGGAAGGGAGCGCACTGGACCCCCAAGGACAGCTGGCCTGGGGGCTGAGAGGCTGGGAGTCTGCAGAAACCTGCAAGGACCTTGGGGAGGGGGCTCCTTGGAGGTGGGTCAGGCCCTGTCGGGGGAAACGCCCTATGAGTGGAGAAAGGATGGCGGCAGTCTCGCCGGTTCTCTCCGGGGGCACACGCCTCCTTGGGCAGTTTGCAGGGAGAGGTGGGAGTGTGTCATGCCGGCGGCGCAGGCCGGGGCATGGGGAGAGGCGGTCTTAGCCAGAACGTCGTTCCATGGGGCTGTGTGCAGCCGAGTGTGCAATGACATGTCCTCCCCGAGACCTGGGCCGGTGGTCACTCTGAGCCCACGTGTCCCCAGGCCACGTAGGCCTTGTCTTGGATTCAGCAGGGTCGGGGCGCCAGGAGGCCTCAAGGTAGGGCTGGGGTTCCTCAGCTGCTCTGGGTCGCTCTCCCTCTCGAGGAAACGCAGTTCCCACCTGCTTCCTCTTGTCCTGTTTTCTGGGCTGCTGACCCTGGCCCTGTGCCCGGGGTGTGTGGATGGTTCTGAGACGGCCTTACCGCAGGTTTGGGGGGAGCTTTCCTGGCAGAGATCCAGGTCAAGCGTTCTTGTCCGGTTGTGCTGGGCCGGGAAGGAGAGGGTGGGATTCCCAGGGGGTGTCGGGAGCGGGAAGGCTGGCGGGAGAGGGGCCGGAATGGTTCAGACGCTGTCTGTTCCCAGAGGCCCTGCAGGTGCCTAGGATGGACCTTGCAGAAGGTCCCCAGCTGCCAGGGAGCCTGCTGAGGCCATTTCCCACAGGTCAGGGGTCCAGCCAGGCCCACGTCTTGGGAGGCAGCCCGTGAGGCTGGAGAGTCGTGTCTGGGGGTCCGTGGGTGGTTCTCAGAGGCAGAGCGGGCCCAACCGCCTGTGCAGACAGGATGTCGGTGGGAGGGGCGGGGGCGCGAGTTCCCTGCGGGAGGCCAGAGCATGGAAATCACTCTCGGACACTGGCAAACTGCACCTTTTCCCGTGATGTCCCTCACGCGATGCCACGGGATCCACTGCTCTGCTCCCCGGGGCTAAGGGGGCCCCGGGTCCTCCCTCCCGGCTGCGGGTTCTCTGACCCCATCCGGCCCTTTCCTTCTGTCCACAGCATCTGCAGTGCTGGGACCCCATGTGGCCACGGACCCAGGAGCCTCCCTGTCTGCTTTCATGGCACGGCCCTTCCCCGCACCCACGGCCGGCGCCCCTCACCGGCCACTCTGGGGGCAGCACCCGCCGCCCCTCATGACCCCGCCATTCCCTTCTGGTGGCCCCCTGGTGCTGCCAGCTTTCTCCAGGACTCCGCTGGTGGCAGGAGAGGCTGGCCTTGGCCCCAATGGGACTGGGACCTGCAATGTCATTGTGCAGGTCCGGTCAGAACAGGGGTGCTCAGTGACCCCCCAGACTCAGACCATCGTCCTCACTCAGGCCCCCCTCAGCTGGAGTGGTCCAGGGGCCCTCTGTGGGGGTGCTGCGTGTCCCGCACCCCTCTTTGTGACAGCCTCTGCGGTGGAGACCAGCATGCCTGCCTCGGCCCATGGGGGCTCCCAGGCTGGCAAGGGAGGCTTGGCCCCAAGCCTTCCACCTCCGGCTCAGCCCCCAGTCGCGCAGCTGACCACCGTCGTGCCCCCAGTCAACGCCAGGCCACAGCCTCACGGAGCTTCCAGGAGCCGGACCACGGCCTCGCCCGAGGACTCCTGTAACCCCAAGAGTGTTTACGAGAACTTCCGGCGCTGGCAGCGCTTCAAGTCGCTGGCCCGGAGGCACCTCCCGCAGAGCCCGGACGCAGAAGCTCTCTCCTGCTTTCTCATGTGAGTGGCCTCTGCTCTCCTGCAGCCCTCACGCAAGCCCACCTTGGGGCGCGCACACAGGGCGGTGATCTAGGGCCGCTGGGAAGAAGGGCTGCGGCCGGGTCCCTGCTCTAGGAAGGCACGTTCTGGTCCAGGACACCTTTCAGTCACGCATCTCAACTGACACTGGGGTGGTGGGGGGGGGTTGTCCAGCCAACCTGTACCTTCCGGAGACATCACGGTGACATTCGCTGGGGACTCACAGGCAGAGAGGGTCCAGGTGTCAGAGGAGGGGCTGTGGTTTGGGTGCCGCGCTTTCTGTCACCCTGTCTCCTGGGAACATGGGCCTGGGGCATCTCACGGCCAGGGGACCAGCCCAGCAGAGGAGGCTTGGGACTTGCAGGGCCCGCAGAGGTCCTGTGCGGGCCCCACCCTCGCTGTCCCAGAGGATCCCTCAGAACGGGAGGGGAGGGAGCAGAGGTGGTGTAGGGGTGAGGGTGTGGGATCCTTCCTGCAGAGCTCTGACCAGGCAGGCCCGACCATGGCATCTGGGGTCCCTCCCGAACACGGGGTGATGGCACTTCCTGCAGAGGCCGGACTCATTGCTGGGCACCTTAATGTCCGCGAGTATTATTACGAGAGGCAGAGTCCAGAAGGACTGACTTGCCAGGCCACCACGTCCCTGCTCCTGTCAGTGGACAGTCAGCCTGGAGCCCAGGGCCCAGGGCTGGTGTGGTGGGAGGCGGTGACCGTGGTGGTTGAGAAGGTTGATTTGCACACCCCGGCACCCCCTGTCACCTGCCAGCACTCGGTCATGCTGGGTGGGGGACACGGGCTCCAGAGGACCCGGGGAAGGCTGGGGGTGACCGGACTGCAGCCGGCCCCTGACCCCGACGGCTTACAGCCCGGTGCTGCGGTCCCTGGCGCGCCTGAAGCCCACGATGACGCTGGAAGAGGGAGTGTGGCGGGCCGTGCAGGAGTGGCAGAGCAGAAGCAACTTTGACCGCTTGATCTACTACGAGATGGCGGGAAAGTGAGTCAGGGTCTCTGGCCCGGGGCTGCTGGGCGAGTGGGCCGGGGGCAGGGTCTGGCTGTGCTGATGCTCGCTTGTCCCAGAGGGCCGCCCTCCCCACCTCCCTGGCGGTTCCACCCTCCCTTGCTCTGGACCCACCGCTGCCTCCACCAGAAGGTCTCAGGACGGGGTTGGGGAACCTGAGGCCGCCTCGCCTGGGGTCGGACTCCCTCCGAGGGGGTTGTGGAGGCGATGGGCCGGACAGCCCGCCTGCTGCCTCCTTGGTGGCCGGGGCCACGGCCGTCCCTCCAAGGCCCTGCCTCTCCCGGTCCCTCAACCTGCTGCTGGCCTTGCTGGCTCCAGGGCCGGGCCCCGTCCTCAGTGCGGCCTGGGCCTCCTCACCCCCAGGTTCATGGAGTTTGAGATGGAGGAGGAGATGCAGATGCAGAAGTTACAGTGGGTGAAGGTGGCCCAGGGCATGCCTCCCCCAGCACCCCCGAAGCCTGAACGGCGGGGGCCCCCAGCCGCGGAAGCGGGCCCGCAGCCAGGTAAGGCCCCCGCATTCCCATGACAGCTGGTGGACCGTGGCAGTGGGGGCCGAGGGAAGGCCACTGTCCCTGTGTCGTGTCTGCTCCCACAAGGGGACATTGTCTGGCCTTTGACCAGAGCAGCCGGGGGTCTCAGCTGCCCTTTGTCAGGACGGGTATTGACCTAGTGAATTTCTTGACTCCTCTCCCCACGCCTGTCAGAGGACCCGGCACAAAGTCTGCCTGGGAAGTGGGCTGTGGGGAGACCCTTGGAGGATCGGTGGGTCCGCCCTTGCTCACGTGGCTGGCTGTGAGACGCTCCTCCTCCCCGCTCTGTCAGTCCCACGGTGCCCATAGCTTCCGGTGGCCCTGACCCAGCCCCCAGGGACATCAGCGTCCCCCAAACTCTGCCCTCCCGATGCTCTGCCGGAGCCCCTCACGCCTCCTCCCTCCTTCCCGCTCTGCCTCAGCGTGCGTTCCCAGGAAGGCGGGTTCCAGGGCCCAGCCCTCCCGCCAGCAGCCACGCAGACCCCCGCGGCGCCCGGAGAGCAAGGCGCCCAAGGAGATCCCTCCAGAGGCTGTGAGAGAGTACGTGGACATCATGGAGGGGCTGCTGGGGCCTGGCCACTCGGCCCCGGGGGGCCCGGCAGGTGAATGGGGAGAGGATGGAAAGGAGCCACAGCAGGATGAGGCCGCGACCTACCCGGACCCGGGTCTCCTGAGCTACATTGACGAGCTGTGTTCCCAGGAAGACTTCATCACCAAGGTGCGCTGGCCCGCAGCCTGGTGTCTGGAAGATTCCAGGGATTGGCACTCCAACGCCCAGATCGGGGCTGAGCTCAGGCCTTTGGCATTAAGCTCTTTCCTTGTTCCTGGGCTGTGTGTGCATGTGTGTGTGCATACTTGTGTATTTGCCTGTGTGCATGCAGGCATGTCTGTATACTTCTGTGCGTGCAGGCGTGCGTACGCACATGGACGTGTGTGTGCACACATGCCCAAGCATCGTGTTCGTGGGTACGTGTGTATTTGTACATGTGCATACCCGTGTGTGTGTGCGTAGAGGCATGTGTGTGTGTATTTGTGCCTTGTGTGGATGTCTTTGTGTATGTCTGCATGTGGTCCTGTGTGTCTGCTCACGTGTGTGTCTGCCTAGGGGTATGTCCTTTGTGTCTCCGAGAGTGCACATATGTTTTGGGGGTGTTTGTGTGTGTGTGTGTGTGTGTGTGCATGCCCAGGTTTTGTCTCTCTGTGTACACATATGTGTGAATGTCTGTGTGTCTGCACATGTGCATGCGTGTGTGTGTGCGTGTGTGTGTGTGTGAGAGAGAGAGAGAGAGAGAGAGAAGGGCCAGTGACTGTAACGTTAAAACTTCTCCCACCATCTGGAGAAGGATGGGTGAGTCTTCACTTTTCCACATTTCCTGCAGACCCTCCTGGCTCACAGGGAGCTCCCTGCCAAATATGGCCCCAGCCTCTTTCCTCTGTCCCAGGTGGAGGCAGTCATCCACCCCTGCTTCCTGGCGGAGCTGCTGTCCTCGGAACCACAGCTGGACCTCCTGGCCCTGGCCGAGAAACTGGAGCAGGAGGAAGGACTCAGCCTTGCAGAGGTGAGCCAGGGGAAGGACGGGTTCCAGGCAAGCTGGGGGATGGAGGGGACCCAGGCGATGCAGGGAAGGGAGTGGGGTCCCAGGTGAGCCCGAGGAGGGGACTCCAAAACAAAGACCCACAAAGTCCCCCCTTTGCTTCTTGCGAATCACAGCACTGGGGTGGGCACAGAGCCGAGAATGGGAAGTGGAAGATGGGGAGCCTGGGAAGGGAGGGAGGGAGGAACTCAGGGGGATGACAGCAGAGCCACAGCCTCGTGGGTCACCCTCCCTTCCTCTCCCAGTGCCACCGTCCCATCCCCCCATCTCACGGGCCTATGCTGGCCAGTCACTGTCACCTCCTTCCTCAGCTGGTGGAGAAACGACTGATGGCCTTGAATACGGAGGAGGGTGTGCAGGCACCCCCACGTCTCTGCGCAGCCCGGTCGGGCCCCACTCCTGAGCACGAGACCGGTCCCGGGAAGGGGCTGAGGGTCAGCGACAAAGCCTGCCCAGCAGACACTGACGGCCAGGACCTTCAGAGGCACGGCCGAGCACAGACACACCTGTCGGGGCCCAGAGCCTTTGCTCTCTCTCCCGGACGACAGGAGTCCCCTGCACCCAGGGCCGGACGGGTCCCCTCCCCTCCCCAGGGTCAAGGGTGCGCCTACCCTGGACTGGGCCCCAGGGATGCCCCGGTTCTCAGAGAGGCCCCTCTTGCTAGGGACACTCGAGGGCTGGCAGATGTGTCCAGTGAGGACGAGGAGGAGCTCCCCAGCCTGGCCTTCCTCCTGGCCTCTCAGCACAGCCTGCTGCCCTGGGGGCTCTCCCAGAGTCCCGCTCCTGCCTCAGTGATCCCCAGCCCTGGCGGTTGGGGGCCACGGGGGGCTCCACGGGCCCCCTCTCCTCAGAGAATAGGCCTCGGCCCGGCCACCCCCCCAGCTACTAAGTCCAGGAAGCGGGCTCTGTGGGAGGGTCCTGCCTCTGTGGCGAAGACGCCCCTGCCTGGGGCCAACCTCAGGGTGTCTGGGAGGCCGGCCTTGGCTGTGGGGCTGGTTCACCCCTCACAGCCTGCAAAGAGAAGGTGTGACTCCTTGGTCACAGGGAGGAGAAGGAAGCGTCACTGCAGCCAGTAGGGAGAAGTGGGCCTGCCCTCCAGGGCTGGCACACCCCGGGGCCCCCCAAGGAGCCTAGGGGGTCCTTCTCGTCCTGGTGCTGATCCTGGTTGTGGGAGGGAGGGAGGGAGGGAGGGAGGGAAGGGGGGTCATGACTGTGGGGGCGGGGTGGCAGCAGCCCACTGGGGCACCGTGTGTAAATGGGGAATAAAGTTAGTTTTGTGGTTAACGCTCTGGGCCACTGTCTTCGTACTGGTGTGTGGGCGGCTGCCGGGAGAGGGTTCCCCACGGGATGGAAGGGCCCGAGAGGGGCTTCCTGGGGCTCCCGTCACCATCCGGATCCCTGAACGTCCAGGGATGGGGAGCCCTCTGCACCACGACCGTTTTTGAGAATGAAGTCCGCAGACAGCCCCATCTTCCGGAGCGCCCTCTGCCTCCCCAAAGCTTCCGCCACGGGTCCGACCGGGCAGGTGGTCCTCAGCTCCTGCAGGGCTCCCTGTGCGGGGCCTGAGCAGACGGGCTCTGGGCCACGGGCTCTGGGCCTCGGGCTCGTGGTAGCAGGAGTGTCTTCTGGTCCCAGTGGGATCACCGAAATAGGAGGGCCAGTGGGGGATCCTCCCAATCCCAGTGAGGACAGACACGGGGCACGGATGAGGGCCGATGGGGACATTGGCCACGGTGTGCACGCAGGAACCACAGCTGTGGTGCAGGCGGCACGTCCCGTGGCGGGATTTCTGGACAGGGCCATCTTCTCCAACCATGCAGGGAGGTGACCCTGCTGCCCCCCACAACTGCCCTGCACCTCCCAGTCCGCCCACCTCCCCTCACTGGGAGTGCTGGTCCCTTCCAGCCCCTACCCCTGTCCCACCCAGATGCTCTGATCCCAGGAGCCAGCACTCAGGCCCTCACCCACCTCCTTCCCAGACAAGGCCTCCTCTCCAGGTTCTAGATTCTGGTGCCTTTTCCGGGTTTGGTGAGGCCCCTACAGTCTCAGCACTCCCAGATGTGCTGTTCCTGCAAGCAGGATGGGGCCAAGGCCATCCAGGTCCAAGGGACACCTGGCCCTCTGCTTCCCTCCTCCCGACCCCAGCAAAGAGTTTGGTGAAGAAAGGAACTCATGCCGGCGTCCTCATCCTGCTGCAGAGAATCCGCAGGCCACCCCACAGGGGCTCCTGCCTCTCCAGGCAGGCGGCTCTGGAGTGCTCCCCACCCTCCTGCCCCTTCCTGAAGCAGAGGTTTCCTCTTGGTCACACTCCCCAGCGGCTGCCCCTCCCTGTCCAGCTGGGCCTCACAGAGAGGAAGGGGCTCAGGGGCCCAACCAGACCCAAACAGAGGCCGCCCCCGTGCCTGTCACCCCGCCGTGTCCCTGTCCATGGTGTGCGCCCAGTGGGCGCTTGATGCTAATGACATCCGCGAAGATTTGCCTCTTTTCCTTGGAAAATAAAAGGTCTGTGCAGCAGGAAGGAAATTAAGTGGAGAAACGTTTCAGATTTTTATGGCAGCCAACCTTCCTCGCCACAGAAACACTTAGGAGAGGTGACAGCTTGCGGGGACGGTGTGGCAGGGCCAAATCAGGAGGGAGCTCCCAGGAAGTGAGCACGAATCTGCGGTGAGGACCAGGTCATCCAGGCCCCTGGGGAAGTCCCGGTGCTCACCCAGAGCAGGCCCAGCTGTGCTCTGCGCCATCCAGCGGGGCAGGTCCCGGTCAGCTCGCTGGGTCTCCAGAGAGCCTGCAGGAAGCCAGGCTCACGCTTTCCCGAGAGCACCGTGGGCTCCGGGCGGCCTGGGGACCGGGGTGGCCCTGTCAGTCAGCCTCGCGGGTTTGGCTGCAGAGCCTCCTCCTGCTCCCCTAGGACAAGATCCAGCAATGGGTCCTGGAGTTCTGGGGAATCCCTTGGATAGAGGAGCATTCCTGTCACCACTGATGACAATGCTGTGCCTTCTGAGGGCACCCGGGAAGCTCGGGCTCCCGTGGCCACCCTTCCGAGCCTGCATGTTTGTTCTTCATTCAGAGATGCGTGTGTCCCACAGGCCACGGTGCGCTGGGCGGGAAGAGGAGAGCAGCCAGCTTTGTGGGATCCTGGCCAGGGCGCCCCAGTGCCCCCACACATGGCGCTCGCCCAGCGGCTGATAATGGGCAGGCTCTGCCTGTGTCCACACCTCCATTCATCATCCACTGTCCCCGGACGCTGGTGTCATAGGAGGCTCTGGCCAAGAAGAGCTTGGGGGCTGCGTGTTCAGACAGACAGTGGGGCGAGCTGGAGCCATTCCTGCTCAAGTGTCTGCTCTGGAGAGCCTGGGCTTGGATAGTCCCCACTTGTCGGCCCCCTGGCGTATTTGTTGGTGGGACCCTCCCCCAGACAAGCTGGCAGGGGCCCCCTCCACCCAGCACATCCACTGGGAAGGCCCCAGACATGACTCCCTGAGTTCTGAGGGCCTGTTTCCTCTGGTATGCCTGTGCACACCTGGGCCCTTGGTGCTCATTTTCGTAAAATATCTTGGGGTTACGCTGTGCTGTCTGAGGGTTCCTTCTGCCATCCTCCCCGGGTCTCTGAAAGTCAGATCCCTCTCTCATTCTATCGTCTGTGTTTGGAATGTACTTTGTGTTGGTTCATTCTGAGGATCCTGTTTCAGGGATGCGTGTTGTGTGAAAGTGTACAACGTGTCTGGACATTGTACATACAGATGTTTTCCACCCACAAACGCAAATTGCAGAAGGATCCCGACTTGGTAGGGCTCTTAATTTATTTACATTAGTCCATCCCAGTGTGCAGCCTGTTAGCAGGAATCTGATCAGATTCTGGTTCTCTCATATTCTTTCCTAACACAGGGAAGGAACGCCTCTGAGTCACTAGTCACAAAATTCTACCTCTGCTGCCCCATGGGGTCTCTGGTTCCAACTCCTGGACACTGACCACTGCCCCCATGATGCTTTTATGTCTCCTCCCCATAAGTCGAAGTGATCTAACTGGTATTCATAGATCACAGTTGGCCAGCATTCATTCACACTGCTATTCTCCTTTTCAGTGAAATTGGGTAAAGTCATTAGGAATGTTTCAACTACATTATTAAAAAATGGGAAAATGCAATAGAAAGCAGTGTAGAGGATATGTAGACACAGTGTTAGCATTGTGACATGTTTGCTCCAGCTCAATTATAAAATAAAAACTCTATCAAGACATCACATAGAATACAATTCATTCATTTTAAGTGTATGGTTTTGATGGCTGAGTAATATTCCATTGTATATATGGACCACAGTTTCTTTATCCTTTTGTCTGTTGAAGGGCATCTCAGCTCCTTCCACAGTTTGGCTATTGTGGACACTGCTTCTATGAACATTGGGGTGCATATGGCCCTGCTTATCACTACATCTGTATCTTTGGGATAAATACCCAGTCATGCCATTACTGCATCATAGGGTAGCAATAGTTTTAGTTTTTTGAGGAATCTCCACACTGTTTTCCAAAGTGGCTGCATTCCCACTAACAGTGTAAGAGGGTTCCCCTTTCTCCACATCCTCTCCAACATTCGTTGTTTCCTGCCTTATTAATTTTTGCCATTCTAACTGCTGTAAGGTGGTATCTCAATTTTTTTTTTTTAAAGATTTTATTTATTCATTTGACAGAGAGAGAGATCACAATCAGGCAGGGAGGCAGGCAGAGAGAGAGGAGGAAGCAGGCCCTCCGCGGAGCAGAGAGCCCGATGCGGGGCTCGATCCCAGGACCCTGGGATCATGACCTGAGCCGAAGGCAGAGGCTTTAACCCACTGAGCCACCCAGGCGCCCCTATCTCAATTTTTTTTAAAAGATTTTATTTGTTTATTTGACAGACAGAAATCACTAGTAGGCAGAGAGGCAGGCAGAGAGAGAGCGGGGGGAAAGCAGGCTCCCCGCCAAGCAGAGAGCCTAATGTGGGGCTCAATCCCAGGAACCCAGGATCATGACCTCAGCTGAAAGCAGAGATTTCAACCCACTGAGCCACCCTGGTGCCCCTCAATGGGGTTTTGATTTTAATTTCCCTGATGACTAATGATGATAAACATTCTTTCATGTGTCTGTTAGTCATTTGTATGTTCGTGTCTTCTGTCCATTTTTTGACTTGATTATTTGTTTTTTGGGTCTTGAGTTTGAGAAGTTCTTTATAGATCTTGGCTATCAGCCCTTTGTCTGTAGTGTCATTTGCAAATATCTTCTCCCATTCCATGGGTTGCCTCTTTGTTTTGTTGACTGTTTCCTTTGCTGTGCAGAAGCTTTTTATCTTGATGATGTCCCAATAGTTCATTTTTGCTTTTGTTTCCCTTGCCTTTGGAGATGTGTTTTGAAAGAAGTTGCATGGCCCATGTCAAAGAGGTTACTGCCTATGTTCTTTTGTAGGATTTTGGTGGATTTCTGTCTCACATTGAGGTCTTTCATCCATTTTGAGTTTCTTTGACAATACATTATGATTAAATGGAGTTTAATCTAAGAGTGTAAAACTTATTTAATATTCAAAAATCAGAAGTGTAAACCACCATATTCATAGTCTAAAGAAAAAGATCCACATGGCCATAGCAGTTAATGCAGAAAAAGCATTTGACAAAACTCAACACACATTCATGTTAGACACTCATAAAACTGGGAATAGAAGGGCACTACCTCAACCTAGCAAGGGATATCTACAAAAAACCCTACTGATGACATCATACATAATGGTGAAAGAATGGTCATTTTTCTCTCAAATTCAAAAACAAGATCAGGATGTTCTTTCATCTCTCATTTTCAACTTAGTACTATAGATGCTGGCCCATACAGTATGGCAAGAAAAAGAAATAAAAACAAATAAATTAGAAGGAAGGAAGTATTATTGTCCATATTCATGGATGACATGACTGGTCACGTAGAAAATTTAAAGAAATCTACAAGAAAATGCTTAATCCAAAGAAATCTACAAAAAAATGATGATCACTCTATCTTGTGTCTCAGGATACAAAATCAACACAGAAACATGAATTGTATTTCCCAATACCAACAATGAACAACTGGAAACCAAAAATTAAAAACACAATGCATGTACAACAATTCCAAAAAGCTAAATATTTGGTTATATCATTTTTTTAAAGAGATGATCAGTACGATAAAATGAGTAAAACCCTCATGAAAGGAACCAAACAAGACCTAAATAAATGAAGAGACAGATCACATTCATGAATTGGAAGATAGTATATAGTAAAATGTCAACTGCCCACAGACTTCCTTTGTCAACCTAGACAAGCTTATCCCAAAATGTATAAAGGAAAGGTAAAGGTAAAGGAACCAGAATAGCTAGCACTGTTTTTGAGAAAGCAGAATACAATTGGAGGACATTATGACTTGACATAAAGCTATAGTATAAGGCAGTGTGGTGTTGGTGAGGGATAGCTGTGTGGTTCCACGGACAGGACAGAGAATTCAGAAATAGTCACACAGAGATACAGCAAACTTATGTTTTTGGGAAGCAGAAAAGCAGTATGATGGAAAGAGGATAGCGTTTTTAGTAAATCTTAAAAATAACTCAAAATGATTAATAGATTGAAATGTAAGATATAAAACATTGAACATTGTATAAATGAAACTAGGAGAACATCTTTGGGTGGTAAGGCTTGTTGAGGAGCTCTTGGACCCGACAGCAAAAGCAACAGCCATAAAAGAAAAAAAGAAAAAAATTGGACTTCATCAAAAATTAAAACTTTCCCCGGATGAAAGGCCCAGTCAGGGATGAAAAGAAGTTATAGGTTTGGAGAAACTATCTGCCCTACCAGAAGTGGGAAGGAGTTTTCTCTGAACTACGCTTGAGAACGTAACAAGGCCACTGGAAGAAACACTTGTGCAAATGTGCCCCCCACCTCACCGGGGGCTGGACTCCAGAGCCGTGGACTCTCAGCTGGTCTACACAGGTCTTTAGCCACCAGCTACCAGCTACCACGTGAACCCTCCCACAGCAGGGCTGGCTCTGGCAGCTGGCCACACTTGTGCAAGCTGGGATTCCCAATCCCCTGGTCTCTCTGATTTTCTGGGCCATAGTTTGCTCTATGATCTCAGTTTTCTGCTGGGTCTAAGAAGAGCTGTTTATTTTTAGTTTTTTTCCAATGTTTATCATGTTTTGAGGATGGGAGTAATGACTTCCAAGCTCCTTATCCTCCAGACTGGAAACAGGAAGCCTGTAATTGATTGTTAGTTTGTTTTCACTTCTGTAACTTGTCTGGGGTTGACTTGGCAATGACAGCTGGCAGCCGGTGCCAGTGCCCCATCTAGGAGGGCAGGGAATCCCCAGTGACAGAACTTCCATGTCCCTTTCCCCATGGATGCCGCCAGTGCCCCTCCAGGCCCTGCTCCCGGGCTCACTGTCTCCTCCACTTAACCCCTTCCCTCTACCCCTACTCTAGACTGCCTACTCAGGAGCGGAGATCTGGGGCCCAGATCTGAGGAAGCCCATCCCAGGTGTCTGAGGGGATGCTGGGGAGGGTGACAGCAGCTGAGTACAGCTTGCTGGAGTCTGGAACAGCAGGGAGCTCCAGCTCCCCGAGAGAGATGTTCCCCTTACTACCTGTGTCATCTCTGAAACCCTACAGACCCCTGTGAGACTTGGTTTCATCTTTAATAGGAAACTGAAGCGGGATAATAGTCCTGAGCACGAAGCTGGCTGCAGGTGTCGGGGAAAGTTGGTTGCTCTGTCGTGGGAGTGAGGCATGTGTGGGATGCCTCTGGTAGAGGTCCGAGAAGATCCAGGAGGGGCAGGGAAGCACCTAACTCCAGAGCACAGCCCGCTGCAGCTGCCACAGGTGGCAGAAGAGAGGGATAGGACCTGTGGAGACACTAAGGCTCCAGCTGAACTGCCCACGCTGCCCCGAGCCCGTGAGAGTGTGAGAACGGCATGCCATCTCAGCACTCACGGACATCTGGGGGCCTGAGGTCTCCTGCCTGGGACCCAGAACTGAATTTCCACCGAGGGAGAGAGTGCTCACCTCTCCCCTCCAGAGACAGCTGAGCTGGTGGCAGGTACACAGCCACGCATTGGGTACCTCACTGGTGGGGCTCTGGCCAGAGGGACGGCCAGGGCAGGGTCTGCCAGCAAAGGCCACGCAAGCATGGGCCCTGGGAAGACACGTTCCCGGGGCCTCCCAAGACCATCTTGGAAGGCGGAACCTGCACCAGTGAGATCCCAGTGTTAACGGGCATTGAGTCCATTTTTGCCCATCTGTCACCAAGGATCCAAGATATTTAAACAATGCCAAAATTGTGGAGAATTTGCATGGAACTCTCTGACTGGCACTTGATCTGTGCACTGAATAGGAGATTTCCCACCTTATTGTGGGTGTGAGGGCTGGGGTGGGTGCATTGGGAGGAGGGGGCTCTGCTGGCTGTACCAGGGCCTTTGTCAGGCAGACGGCCAGGAAGGACACTCTAGAACATTGTTTCAAGGCTTATCACCTGGCCACTAGGTCCTGGGTCAGCTAAGCAGGAAAGGTGACATCAGGATCCACCTGCTGAAGGCATGTGGACACCCCAAGCAGGTTGGCTTGTGGCCTTGGGAAGCAGGGAAGAGTTTGACACATAGTTGGGTCCCTTCCAGCTGGGGACAGTGGAGCCACAGGGGCAGGTGAGGAAGGTGTTGGGAGTCCACTGTAGGAACAGAGGTCTGAGGACCACCAGCCTGAACCTTGGCTCTCAGCCTGGCATCTGGCCTCCTCTGCACCTGACTCACTCTCCCAGACTCTCCGTGCCCGAGCACCCTTCCTACTGCAGGCCAGAACCCCCTTCCTCATGGCCTGGTCATGCACCACAGTCCAACTCAACCACCCAGCAGTCTAGAGTTTCCCACCACCTGCAATGGGAGTCGGTCCTCCCTCCTCCAAACCCCTGGGTTGCTGTTTCTCTACTTTGGGGGAGATTCTTGCTTCCCCACACTGTAGATATCTAGTGGAATGTCTGTCTTCTGCTTGTGGGCTGAATTGTGTTTTCTAAAATTCTTATATTGGTGCCCTAACTCCCAGCACCTCAGAATGTGGCTGTATTTGGAGATAAATTCTTTACAGAGGTGACTAAAGGTAAACGAGGTCACTGGGGTGGCCCTAATCTCATAGGACTGGTGTCCCTATAAGGCAATCAGGACATAGATACACGGAGGGACGACCATGTGAGGACACAGGGAAGATGGTGTCTACCAGGAGAGAGGCCTCAGGAGAAACCAGCCCTGCCCACGCTTGGACCTCCGCCGGACTTCCTGCCTCCAGGTCTGGGAGGTGATAAATTCCTGCTGTTTGAGCCCCCACCCCCCAGCTCTAGTGTTTGTTATGCAGCCTGAGCTGCCTCGCACACTTCCTCTGAAGGCGCACGTGCTCCCCAGTGCTCCCCGAGGCAGGAGTGAAGTCTGCCCTCTTCCCAACTGGCAGCCCTGCCCTCTCCCTCCACCACCACCACTCCCCTCCACCCTGGACTGTTGTCCCAGGGGCCAGATGCCTGATGTCAAGGGATGGGCAAATGCCGAGAAGCAGGAGGGGCAGTGGGGTCCCAAGACAGGAGCAGGACGAGTCTTTGTTTCTGTTTTGGTTTTTCAGGCTTGGCTTGGGGGTGGAAGCTGATGGACAGGAAAGTCTTGGAGGGACCACTGAGAGCCAGTGGGGTTGGGGGAGGGGAGGTGTGGAAGGTTCCAGCAAGCAGACTGGGGCTGGAGGCAGAGAGCAGGACAGAGGGGCTCGGTGGGTCACCGCAGGGCCTGCCGTGAGTCCCTGAGTGCAAAGAGCAGCAGGAGCCAAGTCTGGGGAGGTATGAGGGCTGTGCCGCTGCTGGAGGAGCCTGTGGCCTGCAGAGGCTGATCTGGAACCCGGATCTGAGGAGCAGATGTGGGATCAGGCAGAGGGGTGAGCCTCCGGATCTTGTTGATCCAGTCGGTGAAGTAGTTGACCCTGGTGAAGACGCTGGGGTAGACAGGGTGCCAGCAGTCCAAGCCCCAGCTGGCCAGTCCCACCAGAACCCAGGCCATGGGGAGGTCACAGACGAGGGGACCCCCGGAATCACCCTAGGAGAGAGAGGGGAGTCAGTGTGGGTGACGGAGCAGAGTCTGAGAATAGCAGAGGTAGGTGGGACTTGTGAATCTGGGAAAGTCTGGGCCAGCGTCGCCCCGTGGACCCTTCAGGTTCACACCCCGCTGGCGGCTGGGACAAGGGACAGGGCCCAGGAGGGCTGGCTGTGAGTGGAGGCAGGTCGGCCCAAGCCACTGCAGCTACCATCCATCCCCATGCCCTGGGGCCCCCCTCCTTTTCATCCATTTAGGACTTTGGATTTTTCCCCGCTTCTTGGTCGAGCATGACCAGAAAACACCCAAGCCCAGGACTGCTGGAGGCAGCCCACATTGCTGGGGGCTGGGGGAGCAGGCAGGGGTCACCTGGCAGGGGTCACCTGGTGGGGTGCTGGGAGTTACTGGAGTCCTGAAACACTGGCAGGGCACATTGGTGGCATGGTGGGGACACACCTGGGTGGCGTGGGTTGGGAGGCTCAGTACTCTCGGGGGGTCTTCCGGGGAGGAGGGCACTCCTGCCGCACGTCTCCACTGGAGAGACTCCGGAACCCCAGGAGGGGCTGGCAATGCATGGTGGGTGTGGGGACAGGAAGACTGCTGGGCTCCTAGGCCGACCGACAGCCTGGGTGTTGTCAGATGTCCGGCTGAGACCCAGGGCTGGGGACGAGGTCGTTTGGAGGAGACAGAAGGGCACAGGTATGGCTGGCCAATGATAGCCTCACCCCTGGAACCCGGGACCTTACACGGGGCTCTGCAGTGGTGGTGGAGTTGAGGGTCTTGGGATAGGAAGACTGCCCTGGGTTGTCTGGGTGGGTCCCCACGAGACAGAGGGCAGCAGGAGGTCAGAGTCACAGGAAGAGCTGGGCCCCCAAAGCCAAGGCTAGACCCATGAGTTCTGCGGTTAGAGGCGGCCACGGGCCAACAAGCGCAGGTGGCCCCAGGACCTGAGGAAGGAGAGGAAATTCTTCCCTCGAGCCTCCCGACAGAGCTGGCAGCGCCCACACCACCATTTTAGACTTTGGACCCCCCAGAAACGCCAGATGTTGACTATCTGTCTTTTCAGCCATCCAGTTTGAGGTGGCTCACTAGTGTGGGCCCAGACTCACAGGCAGGGGCTCCTTGGAGAGTGGTGACCCCTCGCCTTCCCGGGGACCCCAACCTGGAGTGACTCCGGTTCTCCCCATGGTGAGCCCGCCACAGCTGGGCCTCCTCTCCCACCACAGCCTGTGTCCTCTCCAGGCCTCAGCTATCCTCGCAGGTGAGCTGCAGATATCATGCTGGGCCCGGGGCCAGCCTGGAGGAGGCAGGTTGGACTCCTGCGGCCTCCCATCCCCTGCAGAGCTTTCAGAAGGCAGAGGAAACCTGACACTGACAGAGCCCCCGCCAAGCGCACCTTGGTTTGCACCGCGCAGAGACAGAACAAGCGGCGTGCGCGTGTGTGTCTGGCGGGGCCCAGGCAGCTGCGCCCACATCCGAGAGGGCGAAGCTAAGACAGGCTCAGAAGGACACACAGCGCTCAGATCGGGGCGGCAGACCGGGCAGGAGAGTGAAGGCCAACCTGTGTTCCTTGTTCCTACCGACCAGGCGCGGCGCTAAACTCTCTACCGGAACCTCGTGAAGGGGAGGCTGTAGGCGCCCCACTTCATGGGTTAGGAATCTCGGCTGGACTCCCAGCACCGAGAAATGACAGTTTGAGACTGGAGCTGGGTCCGTCCACCCCACAATCTGAGCGCTGAGTCACCCTGCAGCACCCAATGCCCAGAGCTGCTTCCAGCGCCCTGCATGGGGAGGACCACTTCGGGGGAGAGAAGAGAGCCCCAGGGTGGGGGCCCGAGCAGGTGGCCTGGCAGACGCAGCCAATGGAATCTCATGGACGGGCTGCAGTGATGGGAAGGCTACCGGGGGGTGGGGGGGTGGGCGGGTTGGGGGCTCCCTGGTGTCCAGCTCAGAGGGGTCCTCAGCCTGGGGTGGAGGGCACTACAATGTCCAGCCCCCAGGCCCACAAAGGGCACCGGCTCTAAGTTCTACCAGCCTGGCCTCCGCGGGAGAAGGCAGGTGCAGGGAAGAGTCAGAAGGGATGTCTGAGTGTGTGTCCCCTCTGGGTGCAGCTGGCCCTGTGAGGAGGCTGGGCCAGAGGGTCCCCACTATTGGCTGTGGCCTGAGAACCAGGCGAGCAAGTCTACCTCCTACCAGGAGGGCAGGCGGCTGAGGCCCCTCCCCTGGCCCAGCAGGTGCCCAGGCCGTAGTGAGAGTGGCTGTAAGTCAGGCCTCCCCAACCCCGGCAGGCCCATCTCACACCTCCTGGGTTTCCCAGAGCCACCATCACATATGACCACAAACCAGGGGTCTTAGAAAACAACAGAAACTTGCCTCTGCCAGTTCTAGAGGCAGACTCTGACGTCAAGGGTCTCGGCGCCTTTCCCTCCACCTTTTAACAAAACCAGTCATTGCATTTAGGGCCCCTCTGAATGTAGAACGGTCTCACCTCGAGACCTAATCACAGCTGCAAAGACCCTACATAGTTCCCAGTACGGTCGCATTCTAAAGTTCCCAGTAAACATGAATTTGGGGAACAGTATTCAGCCCACTACACCAGCCTTTCAACAACCCCATGAAGGAGGCCTCAGAATCCCACTCATGCCAAGGCCCCTGGGCAGGCAGGGACAAGTGGCTGAGTCGTGTGTCTGGCTCCAGGGACCTCCCTCCTTCCCTTCCTCTCCTCCCCTTCCGGATCTTTCCTTGTAGGAGCCAGGCATCCCAAAGCTGGCTGGCTCTCGAGGCTGAGCCCGGGGAGCGTGCTGGGAGGCAGGGTGGGCTTGAAGTCAGAACGCCGGGGTGGTCCAGCCGAGCTGCCTTACATGAGGCTGGTCACATTCCCTCGCTGGGCCTGCTGGCCCACGTGCAGGAGGGGCTCACACAGAGGGGAAAGAGACCCTTCCGGGCCCCGCACCCGGCAGCCGAAGCACATCCAGAACACACAAAAGCACAAGGAGCTCCTGAAAGAAAAGGACGGGCAGCGCGACATCGAAGTGAGAGGGAAAAACTAGAAGGGAAAGACACACAGGCCCGGGGGGGTCCACGCGCAGACAAGAAGCAACACAGGCCCCTGGGGACATGGAGGGAAGCAGGCAGGAAGAAGAGAAACGGCCCCGCTTACCTGGCAGATGGCCCTTCCCGTTGAGAAGTCCCCAGCGCACAGCATCTCCTCTCGCACGGAGTGGCTCTTGCTGTTGCTGAGTCTCTGTCTGTATAAGACGTTACAGAACTCGTTCTCCACGAGGTTCACCTTACCCTCCTGCAGATGGAAGGGCGAGTGCAGGTGCTCTGTGTGGACAAGAAGGGGACCAGGGGCGTGCATTGTGGGGAAGCCCAGCCACGCCGCACCACCACTGCCCCCAAAACACGGGGCCTGCTCAGCACAGATGAGCCTGGAACATGGCGGCAGCCTTCCATTCATCCCTCACAGGCTCCTCTCCCATCTCCCAGACTCCCCACAGGCCCCTCCATTTCCTTCACCTCATACCCATCCTAGTCCACAAAGACAGATGGCAAATCCCACCAACACATGCCATTCATGGGCCCTTAGCAAACATGGACCACTTGCCTGTCATTGACCTTCCTCCCATCCCTCCATCCTCCTACCTCATGCCCCACCGTGCTCCCTCCTTCTACCCACCTGTCCACACACCCACCCGTTCACGTGTGGCTTCATCCCTCCAGCATCTGCCCACCGGCCACCAGCCACTCATCTTCCAGCCACGAGCACTCACCCGTCCATTCATCTGTCCTCATGCTGGACATCTGTGGACACCCCGACCCAAGGGGCATTGTTGTTGGGGACACCGGGTGAGTGAGGTAAGTGGACGGGACTGTTATAGATCTAATAGATGGTGTGAAGGAAACAGAATGGGAGGAGGTACCTCTTTCCACTCCTGTGAGCAACACGACTCTGCAGAGGAGGGGCTAAGTGGTAGCATAAAGGCAAAGTGACTCCGGCCAGCCAGGGCCGGTGGGCAGAGAGGCCAAGCGGAGAAGCCAGGTGCACTGGTGCACTCAAACAGGAAGAAGGCTGGTGGCTGGGACGGGGGATGTAGCAGGGGAGAGGCGTGCAGGGAGAGTGGGGGCCAGTGACACGCAAGCCCGACCCCCAAAGCGGGGAGTTTGGGCTCGTTCTAAGCACAGATGGGAAGACATTGCAGCGAGCTGAGCAGGAAGTGGCGAGATTCATGTTTTAAAGAGAGCAGACGGCCCTGCTGCCACTAAAGCAGGGCACATGGGATGGGAGCTGGGAGACCAGTCTGGAGCGATGGTGAAATGCCTACCAAGTGCCAGGCCCTGCGGCCCCCTTGGGATATTAGAACAAGTAAGACACGGTCCCTGCCCTCAAGGAGGAAGAACCAGTCTGTGTGCCTTCGTGTGTACATGTGTGTGCGTGTGTGCATGCGCCTTCGTGTGCGTGCGTGCATGTGTGCCTTTGTGTGTGCATGTGCACATGTGTACGTGCATGTGAGCATGAGGGAGAGAGAGAGAGAATGCTGGAGGCTGGACAGTCCCTTGGACTTAGAATCACACATTTTTCAGAACTAGAACTAAAATAGTCCCATCCTCTAGAAATGAGGCCCAAGGCCCAAGGTCCCATGGCCACTTGCCCGGGCCCCCTCGGACCCAGCACGCTTCCCTCCTCCCCTGTGGCCCTCACCCAGCCCCACACCCCCTCACTGTCCTCGCTGAGCATCCCCCAGCCGGTGATCCAGCAGGACAAGTTGCCGGACAGCTGCATGCCAGGGCTCGGGAGGCAGGCAGGGGCGATGGAGGAGGTGAGGTTCACGGGCAGGTGCAGCTGCAGCATGGCTATGTCGCTCCCAAAGGGGTGACGCTTCTCAAAGTCTGGGTGCACGATAATCTGGCTCAGGGGCATCTCCCGTGTGTGCTGGGTGTGCTGGTAGAGCTGCGTGCTTCCCAACAGCACCTGGTAGTCCGCGGGGGCATGGGATTTGCTGGCGGAAAGAGCTCGCGGTTACCCTCCGCTCTGAGCACGGGCCAGGTCTCTCTCCCTGCCACTTGTCTAAGCGCCCCTCCCTCCGGAGCCTGCGCCTGCGGGAGGCCAGGCCGCTTGGGTCTCCTCTTCCCAGCTCTCCTGAGGCCAGCTGCACTTCTGTTCCCCACTACACCTGGAGGAGCAGGGACTCCTCGTGCTCAAAGCTTCTTGCTGGGGCCTCACACCAAGCTCCTCCATTTTACACAGAGAAGCTCCGGCTCCAACCTCCCTCTAGCCTGACCCATCCCAAAGCTCCCCATGGCCCAGCTGCGGCCCCACACCTTTCCTGCCCCTTCCTCCTATGAACACCTTCCTGCCCCACAGCTGTTTGTCCACTTGTCATAAGCATTCACAAAAGACCTGGTAAATGAGCAAATGAGTGCAGAAAATGGATCCTTGCCTTGTCCCCTGAACAGAAGTGACAAAACGTCCTACCCTCCTGACTGGACGGCCCGCCACCCGGAAACCGCCCCCCTAACCCCTCCCGACCTCCTCCCCACCCAGCCCAAACCCTTCCCTCCAGCACCATGCGAGCTGGGCCACTGCACCTCTCCTGACCTCCTTCCCTGTCCACGGACCCCTCCCTTCTCAGCACATTGGCTTTCTCTCCTGCCAGCATGGAGACACCCCTTTGCCACAGAGGGACTCATGTGTGGCACAGGGCCGGTTGTGATGGGACCCTGGGCCCTTAAAGCTACTCAGTGCCTGAGCCCAGCTCCCTGCCCCGGTCTGTGATCCCCTCCACTCCCTTGAGACCCCTCCTCGTCTGTCCCGAAGCCGGGCATGGAGCCAGGCCCAGGAAGCCAGAGGAGCCAGCCTCTCAAGCAGCCACATCAAGGTCAGGCAGCCTGGCAGGCGGGTGCCGGCAACCGCGATTCCTCCCAGGCATGCAGTTCTGCAGAAGCAGTAAGTCTGATGCCCCAGAGTCTGGGGACACTGAGCAGAAGCCCTGGCCAAGGAGGCAAAGAGTCTGTCCACACTGCATGGCACCAGGACAGATCTTGCCAGTCTCCGGGGGCATGTTTGTGTCAGCGGACAGGCACTGGGGCCGAGAATGGGGTGAGCAGGGGGGCACATTCAGGTGGAGGGACACGGGTCAAAGGCAGGAATGTCGTGTGTTTGGAGGCTACACACCGCTCAAGGGTAAAGCCCAGAGGAGCTGTCATTGGACACCCATCACTCTTTTCCTCCTCTCCCTTGCATCCCCTGCCCTGCAGCCCGTCTGCAGGCACCCAGGAAGGGGACTCACTTGAGAAAGCAGTGGGCAGCGGAAAGCAGCCAGAGGGGGTCGATGAGGACAGCTCCGCAGATGTGCATGCGCTTGTGCAGCAGGCTGGCCTGCCACGGCCACCGGCCAGCCGCCACATCCCGGCCACCGTAGATCCTCCCCGTCACTTTGGGCCTCCCACACACTGTGGAGACACCCCCCAGCCTGTCCATGATAGAGACAGTGGTGACCCCAAATGATGCGATCACAGAGGCCCTCCTCCTTTTCACAGACATAAAAACTACAGCCAAGGCTCAAGGCGCCTGTCCAAAATCCAGGGGCTGCTGGACCCCACCTTCCTGACCGCTGCAGAGGACCACAGAGCAGAGCACAGGCAGAACCCTGGAGGAACGAGGGAGGGCCCAGGGTTCGGCTGGAGCAGGGCAAGGGGCACCAGGGGGCCACGGATGCATCTGCAGGGAAGACAGGCGTCCCTGAACCCACCTTCTGGCGAAAGGGCACATCCCAGACGTTTCCTTCAACTAGCACAGTCTACTTCCTCACTTAACTCTGCAGACCAGAGAGCTGCAGGTCTCACACGCTACGGGACTTGCTCCAGATCATGTGTCCAGAGGGCTCCTGTGGTCCCTCCACCCCATACCAGCATCTCAGGGAGAGAGGGTCACAGGCAGGAGTCTGGTCCTGCAGGACCCAGGGGAAGCCGCTGCCCTGACTCAGGACGCTTGGTTTCTCGAAGAAGAGGAAGTGGGCTAATGAAGACAGCCCTGGTCCCGGGATTCACACCTGGCGGGCTGGGAGCCGTCTCTTGGGCCCCTCATCCAGCCGCAGTCCTCCCCAGCCCAGCCGCATGCCAGGGCCAAGCCTGGCACCTGCCCAGTTCCAGAGGGTCTGCAATGGGGCCTATTACCCGCCTGTGTTGGGGTTTGGGGATGGCCTAGGGCAGCCAGTCAGAGGGGGCCGAGAGAAGAGGGGGCGACCGCCCCGCCCCAGCCCCTCCCGGAAGCCCCTCCGCCCACACGCCTCAGCCCAACGCACCAGCTTCGGGCGCCAACCGCTGTGCTCCGCCCTCTGGCCGCCCCGGCTCCTCTGAATTGGCCTCTTCCGGAGCGGGGGCCAGGGCACGGGAGGCCACCGGCCAGGACCCTCGCATGCCTGCGGGCGGGAACAGGAGCCAGAGCAGGGCCGCCAGCCAGCCTCGGCCGCGGGGTGTTGGTCCCTCTGTACCCATACCCAGGGCTGCTGACCCCAGTCTGACCCGACCCGACCTGACCCTACGCCCTGACCCCGTGCGGATCCCGGGTCCTGCCCCTGTCCCCACCCTGACGCCCCCTCACACGTCCCAGCACCACCTCCTCCTAACCCTGGGCCCTGAGCCTGCCCAGACCCCAGCCCAGCCCTGCCCACCCTTGCCCAGCTCTGACCCAGGCCTAGACTCCTCCCCACACCTGGTCCTGACCCCCAGGGCCTGACCTCCCGGCCCAGCTGGTCCCAGCATCACCCAAACTCAGGGCAGTCAAGTGCTCCTCTGAATTCAAGAGAAAAGACAGTAGACTCCACATAGTCGGATGGGAACTGTGTGAGAAGGTGATTCGTGGGAGTGGGGATGTGAAGGGTCCACAGGCAGGAGAACATGCTCAGTCTAACTGGTAATCTCGAAAATGAGAGGGAAACATTACAGTCTGTCACTCTGAACCATCTAATTGCAAACATTTCCTGAGATGGATAAAGACCCCTAATCCTTTGTGTGTCATTGATTTCTCTGTAGTTGAAGGGGAACATCCAAATGTCAGATGAGCTTGCTATCGTGTGCTCCTATGTAATACCCTGAGTTTGTTTGTATTTGGAGTGAGAGCCCCTCATTTCACACTTACTTCCTTGGGTGTACAGGGAACTTATTCACCACCGATAGGGACGAGAGAATAAGGGAATTAGAGTTGCACACAGTATACACTGAAATACCAATGTTTTGTTGTGTTTTGGAGAGAGAGAGAGAGAGAGACTGTGTGAGCAGGGGAGGGAACAGGGCAGAGGGAGAGAGAATATTAAACAGGCTGCCCACCCAGTGAGGAGCCGGATGTGAGACTCAATCTCACCACCCTGGGATCATGACCAGAGCTGAAACCAAGAGTCAGCCCCTTAACAGACTGAACCACCTACGTGCCCCTGAAATACCAGTTAATTTTTTTAATTTAAAAAATTTTTAAACAATTTTATTTATTCAGTTGACAGAAACACAGCTATAGAGGGAGCACAAGCAGATGGAGAGGGAGAAGCAGGCTTCCCACTGAATGGGGAGCCCACTGGGGGGCATTGGGAGCCCAATGGGGGGCCCGATCCCACGCCTTGGGATCCTGATCTGATCTGAAGGCAGACACCCAATGACCGAGCCACAAAGGTGCCCCGAAATACCAGTTTAATAGCCACTATGGTTATTTAATGAAAACAGAAGCACACAGCTTTACTTAGTAGTTAAGAACTTGTACTTCAATAAATTAAAAAAATCCACTCTTAGGTTTTGGTGAAACCATACTAGTGTTGGGAAACATTTATATTTCATATGGAGTCTGGAAGAATAATTCATGAACCTTGTCGAAGGGAGTCTAAGGTCGAGGGTGAAGGTGAGGTGGGCCCTGAAGACCATATTAAATGAATCAAGGTTGACATTTCTGTGGAGTTTGCAGTTGGATTTGTCCAAGAGACTTTTGGAAGTACCAATTTAGAATTTGGGGAAGCATCTTGGGGTTGGAGATAGAGAGCACTTTAAAGTTCAAGGTGGCAGCTGAGGACATAAGAGTGGATAAAATCATTGAAAGAAACATGTAGAACAAAATTACAGACCAAAACACAGAAAGGAGACAAATAAGAAGGAGCCAGTAAGAGACTGAAGATTGCATGGGGTGAATGGAAGCCATGGAAACACTAAGTCACATGGCTACAAGATTTCCTGTCCACTTTCAAACAGCTTTATGGGGATATAACCCATAGACCATAAAATTCATACCAGGGACAATTAAACAATTTTCAGTCAACTTCGAGAACGGTGGAACAATCATCAGATTGCCGGCTATCTCTGCTCCCACCGAAGGCTCTAGACAGCCCCTGATCTGCTTTACGTCCTTCTGCAGTTGTGTTCTCCGGACACTTCACATAAATCGAATCCCATACTATGTAGTCTCTCAGGTCTGATTTGTTCACTCAGTGTGACAGCACTCCCGGGGCCTCAGCGGTGAGCTGGCCTCACGCCTACCAGCTCCTTCTCGCTGCCCTACGAGAAGCGAGCCCCTAAACCTGAGTTCGGACCCGGGTCTGCCGGGCAACACTAGCACATTGTTTTGGAGGTCCGTGCATACTGGGGTGTATACTGGTATTCTGCTCTGGTATGGGGGTACCATGTTCTGATGATCCATTTACAAGTTGATGACATTTGGACTGTTTGCAATTTTTTTTTTTTTTAAGAGAGTGAGAGTGCCCAGCTGCAGGTGCGTGCAAGCACAGGGAGAGAGAATCCCAAGCAGAATTCCCACCCAGCACAGGGCCCCACACCCAGCTTGATCTCACGACCCTGAGATCATGACCAAATCAAGAGTCCAACGCTTAACTGACTAAGCCACCCAGGCGCCCATGTTTGCAGTTTGGGGATATTACAAACAATGCTGCTGTGAGTATTCACGCGTTGGTCTTCATGTGGACATCTGTTTTCATTTTACCTGGGTAGATTCCTGGAAAGGAATGAAAGTGCTGGGTCACACGTAAGTTTATCTTCAAGGTTGTATAAGCTGACAAATGGCTTTCCAAAGAGTCTGCATCATTTCACATTCCTGCTCCCACGTAGAAAACTTCTAGTATATTCCATGGGCTTGCCATTAGTTGTGTTTTTATTATAGTCCTCCTAAGGGTGTGAGGTGCTCTCTTCCTATAGTTTTAACGTTCCTTTTTTTTTTTAAAGATTTTATTTATTTATTTGACAGAGATCACAAGTAGGCAGAGAGGCAGGCAGAGAGAGAGGAGGAAGCAGGCTCCCTACTGAGCAAAGAGCCCAATGCAGGGCTCGATCCCAGGACCCTGGGATCATGACCGGAGCTGAAGGCAGAGGCTTTAACCCACTGAGCCACCCAAGCGCCCCTCTCTTCCTATAGTTTTAATCAGCTTTCCCCTAATGACCAATGGGTTCGAATGCGTTTGTATGTGTTTCATTGCTGCTCACATATTTTCTTTAGTAAAAATGCCCATTCAAATCTTTTGCTTATTTCAGAAAATGTTTTGTCTTTTTACTGAGGTGTTATCTATGATCTTTACCAGGTATGCAATATACGAGTATTTTCTCCAAGTCTCTGGCTTGTCTTCTCATACTTTCCACAGTGGCTTTTGAAGAACAAAAGTTTTTAATTTTGCTAATGTTTAGTAAGTTTGGTTTTTCTATAGATCATGCTTTTGGTGTCATAGCTAAGAGATCATGAAGGCCTTCTGCTGTTTTCCTTGAAAAATTACATTCAGGTTGATTTTTAGTTCATGGTTGTTAGTGTGATGTAAGCTTTTCTGTTTATTAAGTTTTTGGATTTTCTTATGGCTCATCCATTTGTCCCAGCACCATTTCTCAGTTAAAAAAAAAAATTAGTCTTTCCTGCATTGAATTGTAGTGGGAGCTTTTTTGAAAATCAATTTATAATAAAAGGTAAGATTTTCTTTCTTGTGCACGTAATTTCAATGCGCCATTGTCCTACATGCCACACTTCCATTGTCTAGGCTATATGTGTTCTTGCAAATTTTGAACCAGGTAGATCAAGGTTTCCAGATTTGTTATTTTTCCAAACTATTTAGGCTATTTCAGGCCTTCAACATTCCCATATATATTATAGGATTAGCTGGTCAATTTATATCTCCAAAAAATTTGCTGGGATTTCCACAGGGACCGCATTAAATTTTACAGGGGAAGTTGACAGTTGCTTTCTTGATAATATGAAATCTCCCAATCCATGAAAAGAAATCTTTCTTGATTAAGATCTTTAACTTTTCTCAGCAATATTTTATAGTTTTCAGTGTACAGATCTTGTACATCTTTGTCAAATTTATATCTAAGTATTTTCCATACTACTATGAATGAAATTATTTTGTTAATTTCTTTTCATATTTCCATAGCTCATGTACAGAAGTGCCATTGACTTTTGTAAGAAATGTTGCTTCTTTGGATCTTCAACCTTTATTAATTCTAGTCTCTTTTATTTTGTTTTGGTGGGTTCATTGGAATTTTCTACATAGAGGGTCGTGTCCTCTGAAAATAAAAGTTCTACTTATTCCATTCAAAGTTGGGTTACTCTAATTTCTTCTTTCTTTCCTTCTTCCTTTTAGAGACCATATTTATAAGGACTCTGCTTTTCGACTATGGTCCATAAATCTCTACGTTTATATTGGAGTGTTTGACTATTGCCAGTTAGGTGATTATTGATATGGCTGCAACTACATTTTCCAGTTTTCTCCTTGTTTTCTGCATGTCTCTTACCTTTTCCCCACTTAACTTGTCTACTTCTTTCTTCTCCACATTTTTTATTGTGCCATCTAATTCCTGTTAATTCTCTAACTATATTTTTAGTGACTTTCATAGTGACCACTGAATTTGTTGGGGTCCTCCAGAGAATCGGAAGGAATCAGGGGAGAGAAAGACAGAGAGAGACAGAGATTGATCAGTTATGAGGGATTGACTCACATGATTATGGAGGCTGAGAAGGCCCACAATCTGCCACCTGCACAGTGGACCCAGGAAAGTGAGTGATGTGATCCTCGTCTGAGTTCAGAGCAGGAGAAGGATTTCTTGTTGCTGGCATGAATATGGTGGGGCAATGTGGCAAGGGATGTGGTGGTCTCGTGCAGCTGAGAGTGGCCCTCCCCGATGCCAGGAGGAAACCAGGACCTCAGACCTTCAGCTGCATGGAACTGAATTGTGCTGCAAGCAAGAACAAGCTTGGGCGTGGATTTTCTACCCAGAGCCTCCCAATGAGAATGCAATCCTGTAGAAAGCTGCACTTCAGCCTCAGAAGACCCTGGGTGGTGAATCTCCTGTGATTTCTCCCAGTTCTCTGCTGCCCCACACATGCCTCTATTCCTCCCATGTCCCATGTGTGCCCATACATGTCACAACACTTCCAGACAGTGCTGGGGTTCCTTTGAACACCTCCATCCCCCTGATACTGTTGGGGACTCCTCTGAGCCCATCGCTGACCACCTCATTGCTTCTGGGCCTCCTCCAAGCCCCCATCCACCCTGACACATCTGGGGCTCCATGGGTCCTGCAACTTCTCCAAGGACCCTGTTCCTTGACACAACTGTTTGCTTGTAGGTTGCTATTGACCCCAAATCCCTGGGGATCTTCCCATGCCCTCTGTGCCCGCAGAAACTACTGTGACTTTTTACAAGCTGCTGGTGCCCCCCCCC